TTTCTTTTTTTCAAAATTTTAGTTAGTCGAAGAAATCTTTTTCACGATTTTTGGGGTTCTTCAGAGCCTTTTTCGTCTGGTAAAGGAGTTTTTCCGCTATTTTTCCGCATATCGAAAACCCCCCGCCTGCACCCCCCCCCCCTAAAAAGGGTATAAAAAGGTTATATTATTTTTTTTTCCTTTAATTTCGGCGAGGTACTGGCTCTTGGCTGTCGAAAGCCAAGAGAACAACGAACACGGCCAAGCTATCTTTTTGCCTAAGCTGGAAGGGTATCAACGGCCTCGCCGTGTACCTACTTTTCCTGGCGAGAGCGGGGTACGAAGTCCCATTGCTCCTCACGCGCGCTTCGCGAAAGCAGAGGAACGTTCACCCCACCTCCAAACTTCGAGCCTAACGAGCGGCAATCGAGGTAAAGCTGTCTAATTGCGCTTATACAAAGCGCGTCAGACTGAGGAGCCTCACCGCAAGCAACGAGGTGGAGTCTCTTGCCTTTCCTCACTGTCTTTCAATATGAGATCCGATTTTTAGTTTATCGATATGCAAAGGAGGTTGTCTGTGCGGCTGTGTGTGTTCGAGGTGATCGATTTGGACACGCTTCCAACCCTACAACCGTGCAACTCTTAAAGCGAGATATAGTATAACATCTTCGAACATTCGGCCTTATATTAGAACATAGTGTTGTCCGTGTCACAGAATTACTGTAGTAAATGGGACCCGTTTGGCATATCGTCTCATAAATCTGTTTCTTTTACAAAGAAGCACCCCCTCCCATACCGAAAAGGCGTGTGGGATCGCTTTGGGTTAGAAAGCCAAGAGGAACTGCTCTTCTTATCAGGGAGGCGGCGGATCAAGGATCGTTTCAACGTCGAAAGGGAAGAAAGAAATGTCATCAAGATGAATTCAAGAGGGGCATCATGAAGTTTTCTTATACCAATACAAACTAGAGGACCTGCAAGCATCGCTCAAAATATACAATACACATGCTCCTAACTAAAATGATACCATTCAGCAAACTAAAGGTACACATCTTCATTCTGGTTGAACATTATACCTCCCCTCTGTAGGCATAGCGCTCGCAGCACCAGGTGAAACCGTAGCCTCCGCAACTTGCTCACCTTGCGCAGAAATAGTGTACACCTTCCCATCCGTACCCGTCATTGTCTTGAACGCTTCCTTCGCCCTGTCCGTGGCAGTATCATACATCCCATGCGCACTCTGAGAAGCTTGTGCCATCCCCTGAGAAGCTTGGGCCATGCCTTCTTTGGCTTGATCGGCTCCATGGTGGAACACCCCCGCGACGCGTTCACCAACGTGACGCACAGCTTCGGTAGCCTGAGCGAAGATTCCGGATGCGCCAGCGGAAGCTTGAACACCCATTTGAGACGCGTGAGCTCCAGCTTGTTCGGCGGCGTGATAAGCGGCACCAGCGGCGTCCGAGGCCATTTGAACAGGAACACCAGCAGCGGTGTAGACAGCTTGAGCAGCCTGCGAGCCCATTTGGTACGGAACGCCAGCAGCTTGGTAAATACCCTCAGCAGCTCCTTCGGCGGCATGGTAAGCACCTTCGGCAGCCCGTTCAGCCATGTGGTATGGGACACCGGCGGCATATCCAGCTGCTTGACCTACTTGACCTGCGGCATTCATCACTGACCCAGCGGCTTGGGATCCCATTTGCCCAGCTTGGTTGGCGGCTTGTCCAGCGGCATTGTAGGCGGCTTGAGTGGCTTGAGCAAACGCGCTGGGAACAGAAGACATGACAGTTTGGTACGCGCCTTGCGCAGCACCACCTACGGTGTTCGTGGCTTGAGTGTAGACATGTTGGGCTTGGTGAGCGGCATTAGTGATAGGGTATTTGGCGGCTTGAGTGAGAGACGCGAACATGCTGCTGGCAGATTGGCGGGCAGCTTCGGTCATAGAAGAATACTGCATCTGGGCTGACTTCATCGAATCCTTGTAAGACTTTTCCATTGCAGCAATGCGTGCTTGAATTTGAGCATCAGCAGAAGGGGGACTCTTCTCAGCATGTTGAAAGACGTTTGAAACGCGGTCTTTGATAGAGCCAGCGGCTTGGTAGACACGATCGACGATCTTGTGGGCTCCAGCTTGCTCGGTTTGCATCATGGGCTGTTGTTGTTGTTCTTGTCCATCGTTGGCGCCAAACATATGCATGATAGACTCGTAAGCGCGGTGTGCTAAAGTTGGTAATTCGATTTCGGCAAAGTTGTCGTGGACTGGAATGTGCTCCGTGTCCTTCGTCACGCCGCGCCTATCATATAATTTGGAAGAGACATGATGTCGTTAGAACAATGCCAGTGCACGCGAAGATATTCAAAAAGAAAACTTACCTCGGAATTCTCACTTTCAAGACACCATTTTCAACAGCGGCTGCCATATTATGCGTATCAGCGTCCCAAGGCAAAGCAACAAGCCCTTCAATACGCTCCACGTATCTTCCACGAGCCTTCTGCGCATTCTTCTCTGAACTCTCACGGATCATAGAAGGAGGAATGTACTCCGTCGCAGCCTTTCCAGAAACTCGGAGAACTGTGCCTCCTTCAGTCAAATCCAAGTTGATGGTTTTCGAGTTGTGGCCGGGGACTGGCATGACGAGGCTGTATTCATTGGAGGAGGTGGCTAGGGGGATGTTTTCGACTGGAAGCTTCTTACCCTCTTGGAAGAGGTCAAGTTGGCGGAGGACGGAGGCGCTGAGTGGGATTGTTAGCAACAGAGCTTTGAAGTCCGCGAAGATAAAATCATCCTTACATGGAATCAAAGTCAGATGGGCCCAAGAGAGTCCGATGCACATCACGCACGGCAGAGCCCGAGTAGAGCTCATTGTGAGGTTGGTTCCAAGTCAGCCATGACGCTTGTACAGCTGATATCAAGAAGAGCAAGGCGGAGGTCGTTACAATCATAGGTAAACGAGGCGAATATCTCATTAGCATCGTGTCGATTCGAATGCAAGTTACGAGAGGGCAAGGCGATATGGGCAGCTGCGGGTCGATGAAAGTTAAATGAAGCTTGCTATAAATAAAGTACAGGGAGATTGCGCGCAGACGAAACTTTTTGCAAAGGTCTCACCTGGGAAACAAAACGTCATTAACCTGACACGTTGGCATCGTGGGATTCGTGGGAAAGAGAAGTGTAGCTGACGGCTCTTTCTTTGACAGCTCACCCCCGTTAGATGCTCGGAAAGAGCGCGCGCAAGTGCTCGCTAACCTCGTCGTAAACATGCATGACCTTATCGCGCAAACCAACGCAAGAAGGATTTGTAAGCAGCGCTCCAGCACGCCAGCGCCTCAAAAGGAACCGCTCGACTTTGAGATCACGAAAACGAACATTGAAGGTTGCTGGCGATAAGAGGAACACGATCCAAAAAGAAATGAGATAGCGAGGCATCGTTTGGGCATCGTTCTCGCAAAAAAATCCGCCGACCCAGGTTCGAACTGGGGACCTCCTGATGACTTTGTTTCGACACGTTACAGTCAGATGCTCTTCCAACTGAGCTATCAGCGGTTGAAAATTTTCAAATTTGCGTCAATACTTGATTCCTTCATGTTATTTTCAACACTGGTGTCAGACGAGGCATCAAGGGGAGGTTAGTAGAGACAGTAGGGAGGTGTTCAGGCGAAATGCGCAGCAGCCCATGGCGGGGAAAGTGCCTGTGTGGCCGATGGTAGTGCGCGCTGGTGAAATGCTGGTGTTCTGGCTGGTGAAATGCGGGCGTCATGTTTCGTGGTTTCTGGACACTTCTGATAAAGAGGTACCACCTTCCGGGACGACTTTGGACACATCAGCCAGTTTCTTCCAGTCAACAAGAAAGTTTAAATGAAATCTGCCACATATTGGGGCAAAATATTATCATGATTCGCGCCCCGCGAGTAGAACATTGCCTCGGTAAAATCTCCAGCTTACAGTTCAGCAGTATCACTGTGAGATTTGCTCAGCATTCCATACGGGCCGACAGACACTTTTAGGTTGTGTTGGCTTGTGCTTGTGGGGGCAATGGAATCGTGTGAAAACGCCTCCCGTTTCGTTTGCGGTGCGTTGCCACTCGCCACTTTGTTTTTCTTGGTTCCACTTTGTCTCCCAGTTGATCAACCGCACCCCCAAACCCCGCACCAAACTCCAAATCATGGTAAAGTACCCAGCTCAGAATCCAGTTCATCTTTCTTGCAGTTGCAGTCGTTGCTACAAGGTTCAGTTGGATCGCTCAAGAGGTGACCTCTTGTGTGTTCGATGATGTGGCACAACTGCTGGTCAAGCCGCAATCACAACTTCTTCAGGGTCCGCTACTCATCAGCAACTGGGATCACATCGATGACTGTAGACCATTCTAACTTCCTTCTTCTATCACCTGATGAACAGTCCCAGCGTCGTCCCCCAGGTGGCTACTCGAGCATCTCTTTTGGCGATGATACTAGCCATCTTGATACAAAGCGATCTACACCATCTACGCCCCCTCGCACAACCGTAGCTGCTGGACTTTTACACACTCAAGAAACGACTTCAACTCGTGCAAATAGTGCCAGGTATAAGAATGCCATGAAGTCGTCTATTTTTGGTGGTGATGAGGACCCCCTTCCCAGCAAGGCGTCGATCAAGGTGGAGGCATCGGAAGACTCGGTGGCGCCAGCAGCAGAGCCTGAGGCACCTGTGGAGGCAGCTATTGTTCAGAAGGTAGCAGAAGCTCTGGAAAGTGTAGATTTGAGTGCCGAGACGAAGCCTGTGAAGAAATCGCTCCATCGTATGTATCAAACCCTCTCACATGAATTGCCACCCACCCTATTCTAACGGACAAGTTACGCATTTCAACATTTTAATTAGCTCAAATGCAAAGCAACATCTTTGGATATGATGAACAACCTCAGCCTTTAAAAAGCCCTCGCAAAGCTGGCGGTGGTATCCTTCCCGTTGACGACAAACCCGCCGCTCGATCAGGACGCAGACAGCCGGAAGGCATCGCACCCAACTTCAAATCCAACTTCTCGCTCAGTGACAGCTCTATGGACTCTGAGCGAAAACAAGGAGTGACACCTCCCGCTCTCAGGTCCTCTATCACATTCGGCGATGATGGACCCAAAGACCCAGACTTTTCACCAAAGAGACCGAGCTCTTCAAGTAGGAGGATTATCACTCCACCGGGAGGTATGACGGCGTCTAGCTTGGCAGAATTCACAGGTGTGATGCCTGAGGACTCTTGCAGCAGTGGTAGCGATAAGACAAAAAAGAGGCTAGATCCTTCAACAATGGCCGCTGCTGGATCTACCAGTGGGAAGCATAGAGTCTACTGATGAAGATGATGATCATGCATGCATGTCTCTTTCCCTTAAAATCATCTTGTATTTTAAATGGCAGTAGGGGTCGCTTCCTTTGACATTAACTTATAAATAAAAAACGTTAGTACCGTTCTTCTTCATCAAACTATTAATATGTACTGCTATATCGAACAAATATCTCATCATCTTGCCAGCTATAACTAAATACGAGACGCTGTAAGATTCCCTTGGTTCCAGCACGTCTGGGCAGTGATGGCACGGAGGCTGCTTTGGTTGTTACGTTTTCCTTGAAGTCGTACCAAGTGACCCTTCGCACGGTCAATCATCTTCACACCCGCATACACAACCAATCCAACATGACATCCGCAGCAGCGTCCGCAGCAGCATCGGCAGCTCTAGCCCATCTAGAGGATGATCTAACCCACGTCAGCTTTAAAGACACCACGTTCCTTCAAATGGTATGATCCCTTCCTCCTTCTGCCAAACGCGAGACAATTAACCAACAGTTCCTCTCCAGTTTGGCCTAAATGAACACAACGTCCTTCAGTACTTTGCACTTAGCCCCCAGTTCTACGACAAATCCTCAATCAACGAGCGAATCGTCATGCAAACCCGGTTTAACGAGCTTCAAGCAGCGACTTTAGATCATCGGTAACCGTTTCGGGAGGCAGCAACATCATCCATCCTTGCATTAGACTTACTATTAGGATCTCGTTAGGAGTATGACGGGCGTCGAGTTCAGCCTGTCCCATTTCACCTACCACCCATCCCTGTTCGTCATCCGCAAAGACTTCAGACATTCGCCTACTCGAAGTAAGCTCTCTTCCCACTCCGCCCCAAATCTCCCAAACTCACACACTTTCTTCTCATACAGCCGAACTACTAGCAATATACTACATCGTCGAAGGCACCATCTACCAATCCCCTGACGCCTTCTCTCTGGTTTCCAATAGACTTTTAACGAGTCTGTACCATGTCCGTGCTGGATTTGAAACGCTGAGAGCAGAGTTTCGGTTTCAGCCTTCACAGGGGTATCATTGGGCTTCTTTGGAATCTGGTGGGAAGGACGGGAAAGGGGAGTGGATGGTGGTTGATTTAGATGCTGAGAGAAGTGAGGAGGAGATGGAAACTGATGACGTTGGAGATGGGGACGTAGAAGAGAAAGAGAAGGATGAGGAGGATGATTCGATGGTACTCACTTCTAGAGACTCTCAGCGGAATGCGTACGAATTCATGAAAAGAGTGGACGGATTGATATCCGGCATGCGTGCCGAGGCTGGGCTATCAGGATCTCTCAAAACTACGTCGAAGGCAAGCGCGGACAGTAAGAAACCGAAAGCGGGTGTGACGTTGACAATTGAGGAGCTGAAATCGGCTGCGAAGGCGCGGATGGAGGTGAAATTCATTGAGCTTGCGCTTTCAATAATACTGATGTTAACTTGATTTCTTCAATTCATTTCAGGCCCTCGCCTCCGAATCCTCGTCTAAGAAAGCTGCTGAATCAACAATCCCCGAAGCCCCCACTGCTGCTAAACCACCAACAAAACGAAAGAAAACGCGGCTGAGTGCTGTATATTACCCCGGAAGCACAAGCGGTTCCCAAACTTCCCTCGTGTCGACTCCTACGTCGATGGTTGCTTCTCCTGGATCTATGTTGAAGAAGAAGAAGTCAAAGATGGATGGGTAGATGCATGTACTGGATAGATGTCTGTAATTCTAAATTTACTTAAGGCAGCCACATATCATACAGGAGTATCCACCTCTTCCTCTCTGTCGGATCCCGCTCCTCTTTCATTCTTTGCAACTCCATTTCCTCATCCTCGGAAGCCTCATCCTTCCTCACTAGATCACTAACATCCACACCGCCAGGATCCACCCTAGCTTCTCCCAACTTTCTGACCGTAAACCCCATCGCCCTCGCTTTCCTAACAAATGCTTCTATTGTCAATCGACCGGTATGGAGACCCGAGGCGATATGAGCTACTGAATTTTGTTTGTGTTCGGAAAGAAGTGTGTAGAGGTCGCTGAGGAGGAGGTGATGGAGGTCGGGCATCCAAAGAACGTCGGCGAGCATGATGCGGAGAGGAATGCTAGGTTTTGAGGCGGGTCTAAATTTCGAGGAGACAGTTAGGTCAATGAATTACTGCGCGAGAAGAGGTTCGACTTACCTCAAAAGCTTGCTAATGGTCTTATCGCCCCAACAATGCCCCACCACGTCCCAAAATGGTTGATCGTTGTCCTCTCTTCCCTGAGTTCCACTAAAAGAGTATCTTGAATCACCACCCAACAGGCTCTCCAGATTTCCCTCCAATGCCTTCAGGATCCCTTCATCCGAATAATCCGACGCGATTACCTGTTGTGCCCCACTCAACGCACACGCCAAGCTCACCAGCCCCGCACCGGAACCCAACTCCACCACTCGCTCATTCTGTACTTTTATGGTGCCATTAAGAATTCTTAACGAGAGCAAGTGCGCAGATTGCCAGATGTAGTGGGCCATCAGTGCATTGTTGGCATTTTGGGAGACTTGGCCGATTCGGAGTGGGAGATGGTAGCTGTATGTTGTTGTTCTTCCTTCCACGTTGACGACGGGAGGAGGATGAAGGCGTTTAAATAGGGATGGGAAAGCAGTTGTGAGAGTGTGGTTGTAGATTCCGCCTGGTTTGCCGTGGGCTGTTGAAGAATGTAAGTTTCTTGAGAAAGAGCGGTGATCACACCGATTTACTATACCGATAACAGGCTCCTGGAAGATGACAGCTAGTGCATCCTCGAACAAGTCTAGTTCGTCTTCTATGTCTTCTGTAGCGACTGGCGGCGGTTGGCGCGGATCGACTAGCAGTTTGATATCATCGACTTGTTTGTCATTGACCTTTGGGATACTTCGATCATGATCGGCGGAGTTTGTCGCAACTGATTCTTCTTGATCCGTCATATTATCCTGTTGCTATCGTCCATAGCTAGCGATAAGATGATAAAGCAGCTTTAACGCTCCTGACTTTGGTGTCGGTTGCGCTACGGGGCTTGTGTCTTGCCTTAGCGTCACCTCGGGTGTGGTCGTTGGATCGAGGCGAGATCGCTGAGACAAAAAAAGGTGTTCTGGATCCAAATTCGAAGTGGAAGAAGAAGATGATGCGGCTGAGGATGACACCAACGATACCGAACAAGTTCTTGCTGGTGAGGATCGATAGTTTGCTGCGCAGATTTTGGATGTAATTCATGCGGAATGAAAGCGCCTTT